CTGATCAACCAACTTGGCTTCACTAAGCTGACGCAATTCACACAATCGTCGGAAGCCCAATTACAGTGACCTTTTCCTCCGGCATGCGACTAGGAGTGGAACTACAGATAGTAACTGTAAAAATTGATAGACTTACACCATCCAGTTGACCCAACTGTTAACTATTTGGCGTCCTTGGTGGGATTCGAACTCACGTCACCATGGGAAGGTTTGAGTACAGCCAATTGAGCTATCGAAGCTCAACCGGAGCCGTTAATTTAATCACACTTGGGTCGATTTACCCGTCAAACCTGGCGCAGCTTATGAAATGCACCAATACTGATGCAGTAAGATGAATGCCCAAGCAGTATTTCCTACTCAACCAATCTAGGATCCACCAGATTACTACCAGGCACACTTAATTATAAGGAGAAGTTTAGGAGCTTTGAGTAATTTGTTTGACCCAATTTTGAAAAATTCGTCTGCCAAAACCTTCCTAATTATGAAGTGTGCCTGGTAGTCATCTGGTAGATTCTTTATTAATTGCTTTGGAAATCCTGCTTGGGCAGTCAGCTTACTGCATCAGCATTGATGAATTCCATACGTTGCAGTAGGCTGGACGGGTAAATCGATCGAAGTGGGATTCAATTCACGGCTCCGGTGGGGCTTCGATATCTCAGTGTGCTGAAGCGTTGATTGAACTCAAGCCTTCCCTTTCTGGCGTGGGTTCAAATCCCACTGAGTCCCTTGGCTTTTTCACAATTCAGCTCCCACCTGCTTGCCTACTATATCGCTGTACTCCAAGTGTTTTCTGTATTTACTTTGTGTTTGTTTCTCAGATATCAACGTGGATGAAATAATCGCAAAAGTATCCGCCGGTTACCGTCTGCCTAATCCCTCAGACCTTGGCTTTGCGTGTGAGAAAGCTGCCTATAATCTCATGCTTGACTGCTGGTCCGACGAACCCGAGGTCAGACCCACGTTTCGGGACGTGTGTTATCTCCTCAAAGACATTTTCAGCGAGGATCAGGACATATACGCGTCCCTTGATTGAATATGCAGCCGATCCGCTGGTCCCGTCTTTCACTGTCTACCTCTACTTTTGCTGTTGCTACGGGATATCCATTTCTATTTTTCTAAAACAAGCGTATTCATTGGTACTTGCTGATTATTTGGCTTTCGTATTTTATGTACCAACGTCCAGCAGACTCATTGGGAATCCCTTTTAACCCGCAGAGTATCGTTCCTTTTTCTGGCTATGTTTCAGCCCTCTTTTAA